CGTTCTTCCGGCGCTGCTCCTCGAGTTGCGAGTTCTTGTCGTACGATTTCTTCCACTCAGAGATGAAATACGCCAGCTTAGAAAAGAAGTCGCGGCGTGCGTTGTCGTCGGCAGGGTCCTCGCCGTAAAAAGGTCATGATGTCGTCGTAGGTGCGTATCATCTCCTCCAGGTAAACCTGCATCTGCTCGGCCTTGCGCCGCGCGTCCTTCATGACGCGCCCAACAACCTGGGCCACGCGGTCCTGCGGGTGGAACTTCTTCGCGTCCGATAAGCTGCCGGAGTCGAGCGCCTTCTGTACATTGGTGATGTTGTCAATGTATCGTTTGGCGTCAGACTGGACTTGCTCTATGTTGATTTTCTGCGCCGTCATGACCCCCGAGATGTCGTCGGTAAAGTTCTCCCACTCCGGGTACTGGTTACGGACAATTCGTTCGACAAGATCGGCCAACGTCGATTGGTTCTTGTCGTCCTTGACCATGGCTAATCTGGCTAGTGAGGATAGCTTGAAACCGCGGGCCTGCTTGTTCGCGTCGTTCATGTAGTTACCGATATCCAAAATGAGGCCGAGCACGTTCATCAAAGATACCGAGTCTCGAAGCGACTCGGATACGTTCACAACATGGCGCATCTTTTCAGTGAGTTCGTCGTACTCGGATTCGAAGCTGCGTGTCAGTGCAAGAGCCCGCATTCTGCTCTTCCAATAGTGATGCAGCTCAAACGCCGTTTGTAGGTAGATCTGATCTTGCCTGGTAAGCTCGGTCGGGTCAAGCTCTCTGTTCTCTTTGTTTGCTTCTGGGCCTGTCCAGTCCTTGCTGTATGGCGCTAGCTGCTTGGATATATTATCCGGGATATTGCAGAGATCATCTTTTTGCAGGAAGTCCATCACCACAACGTTATCGAGCACGTCGTTGTCACAATGGATGATCATTTGCACCACCTTCTCAACAGAGAACTGCGAGAACTTGGCCAGGGCAATTTCTGTCCTCCATTAGCGCATGCTTATGATTTCCTCTTGGGGTTGACTTACCGTAGGATTTCCGCAGATCGTTCGAGATAATCTGCTTCTTGTCGTCCTTCTTTGAAGTCCCTTGGCCGATCTGCTTGATCTCTTTTGCCATGAAAAGTTTCTCGACCTCGTCGAGAATACCCTTCCGACTGAGCTCGAGGTATTTCTCTTCCCTCTCTTCTGCCGAAGGCGTGTGGGCGGCCCAATGAGTGGTGAGTGGCGAGTCGACCTTCTCCCAATGCAGAGCCTTGAGCTTCTTCTTAGGCCGGACAACCGACAAGCCAAGGGATGTTGTGGGTGTGAGATTGTTTTGCCGGGATAGAAAATGCCCAGACATTGCGCCCAGCCCGGGCATTGGAGGCGGAGGAGGCGGAGGCATGCCCATGCCACCAGGAGGAGGGGGTGGTGGTGGTGGTGGAGGGGGGGCACCGCGAAAGTTCCCTGGCATCGGAGGAGGGGGAGGGGGAGGAGGGCCAGTAAAACCGGGCGCTGGGGGCAT